CCAGTTTGTTCAAGAAAAAATCCCGTGGTAGTTTTGATTATCTTTTGGAGGAGAAACAAAATAATATTGTATGTAAATGGAATGACAATAGTGTTGTTACAATCGCCTCAAATTTAACATCTCCTTTTCCGACACAGCAAGTCAAACGCTTCTCTCAGAAAGAAAAGAAAATGATACATGTTGAGCAGCCATGTTTGATCAAACAATACAACGAAAACATGGGCGGTGTTGATAGGGCTGACCAAAATATAAGCCTTTACCGCGTAGGAATCAGGGGAAAGAAGTGGTATTTTTGCTTGTTTTCACATGCTCTGGATATGGCAGAACAAAACGCATGGCAACTTCATAAACATTCTGGCGGAAAAATGGACCATTTGCGGTTTAGGAGGTGTATTGCTGCGGGATTATTAGAAACCTATAAGAAAGAAACAAAACGGGGGCCATCTAAACCAGGCAAATACCTGCATTATGAGTCCAGATATGATCGGATGGATCATCTTGTGAATTATCAGGAAAAGCAAACCCGCTGCGCATTTTGCCACAAACAAGGAGTATTCAGATTCCAGAAGTGTGATTTTGCACTTCATCCAATAATGTGTTTTTTAAGTTACCATACTAAAAACTAATCTATTATTATTGGTTTAAAATTTTTTTTTCGTTTCTAAATAAAGTTGTATAAGTTCATAAGAATATTGAGTTTTAGTACCTTATATTGCTACCGTACGTTTAAACCGACGGCTTTTACAGAAAAACCTAAAAGCGGAACTAAAAAATTTTACTAGGAAAATATGTTTATATTAACCCAATTAATAGGTTTACAAAAGTATATAACAAAAAACAAACATTAAGAGTTTCAGGGGTATCTGGGTTAAAAAATGGTACATGACACCTTTATCCACTTGTGCCTTCAAACGTATCATCGTTGAATTCGTAGAAAAACATCCTATCAGATACCTTTTTCGGACCATATGAAAAAAAGAAAATTAATGATGGCTTTACAAAAATGAAACGTCGGGCACAAAATTTAAAGACACCATCACGTAGTGCCTAAAAACTGCCAATGAAAAGGTTCCATTAGTTTTTTGATATTTCTCTAAAATAAAGTAAAAAAAAAATAAAAACAATTTGTCCGAATTCTAGTTTTTCCTAAATACCTCAGCAATGAATTTTTGACAAGTTTCTCAACGGCTTGCAAATACGCCCCAAAGAATGCTGCTTTTCTTAATTTAACCTTAGCTGTATCTCCCACAAATATTGAGATCCTCATGAATAGGATCCTTATCATATTAATTATGAGTGTTTCAGATGTTAAACTATAGGTTCGTAAAGTTTGGCAAACGGATCTGCAACATCGGGGTATCGGTGAGGGGAAAGCAAAACATGGCTGGTTTCATTCATAAAATGCCAGCGGCGTGCGGTATTTTATAAAAGTTTGGGATTATTTCATAATTGGTTTAAATTTAGTAAACTATACGTTTATGTTTCACTTTAAATTTGGGAAGTATCTCAATAAGACCACAATGATATGGAGCATTGTCCATAATAATAAATAAAGTCTCGGGTAAACTCAAAAATAGCTCTCGACAGTCTACATACACCATGTAAAAAAACACTTGAGTCTGTTTCTACACTTCAACAAACGGAAAAATGTCTACTCACTTCCCAAAATTGCCACAATTCAAAAAATCATGATAACTGCGCGATTTAAAACCTAATTTGAAAATCAAGCTAGCGTTTTTGTCAAAGCCGTAAATAAAATATATTTTTCAAATACAAATAGATACTTAACGTGGTTTTTTACCTTGAGAATATATATATATATATATATATACAGGGTGACTTTGAAGTTGAGTCATTAATTTTCAGATAATGATTGTAGAAGGAAGATAAATCAAAATATGTGTGTAAAAATAAAAAAAAAAATATTAAAAAAATTTTACCTTGTTTTGTAAAGTATCCTCCCGACAAGTATTTCAGTGCGGACCTGTATTTGATCGTGAAGTCTTGGAGCACCGGCATGCCGTCCCCTGTGAGGTCTTAAGTCACCTGATTCACGAACCCGTTGTACTACATTAACAAAGGCACAAGGGGTTGGTTGCACTCGATTGGGAAACCGATCCGCATAAACATGTGCCATTTTTTATTTCGTTTGAACCACGCAACAGACACCACTATTCACTCACGCGTTACCGACTGACACTGACTGTATAGTGGTATAGTGTATACAACTGAATAAAATAATTGTAAAAACATCGTTCCAAATTCTTTCGCTTTTTTGTTTCCGATGCGATGAACCGATAAGGCGGATTATATCCGTTGTTGCCAAACACGAGCACATAATATTATTATTGAGACAGGGCGGTACTCAAACTTCTAAAGGGTTAGAACTTTGTTACTTTAATTTTACCAGAAAATGTTGTAGGAAAAAACATTTCTTTTGATCAGATCTACTCACTGTTAAAATAAATGACTCAACTTCTAAGTATATTATACATCCGTGATCTTATAATATGCTCATTTACTTTAAAAAGTGCCACAAGCCGAAACATGACCAGAATTAATTTTTATTTTATAATCCGCATCTTTCTGGATTCCTATTGTTGCAATTTTGGACTGTTGATGTGGATATTTCTAGAGCATCCGTGTCGCTTAAATAGATCAAATAATTTTAAACATATTTCATATCCGTTTAACTTATAACCTCTGTAATAAATAATACTTACATTATACAGCATGTCAAAATTACATTTCACCTATTGAATTAGCATTGGTGTTCGTCAACTTCATCATTATCATCATCGTCACTGTCGTCATCAGTTTCGCTGTCGTCATCTTGCCCTATAGTTATTATAACTGGTTCCATTTCCTCCATAAATTGATCATTTTCCCAAAATTTATCTTCAATGTCCCTAACATGTTGACATAATTTCTGCCAATCATTAATGGATATTAAGGACATCGCTTACTGAGTAACTTCTTTCAGTACGGTTAAACTGAAGTTTCCAGTGGTATTGCGGCTTCTTATATGAAATTTAAGATTTGCCCAAGCTAATTCTATTGGGTTTAGCTCGCATAAATAAGGAGGTGTTCTTAGAGGAGTATGTCCATGTGATCTTATGATCCGATCAACTACATAATTTTTTTGGTTGTCAGGGGGCTTATGAAGTAAGACCAGATCGAACAAGTCAAATTTTCTGGCAGTTGCCTCATGATTTATGCCTATAAAATATTTTATTGTATAGTTTGATATGTACATGCATGTTTTGAGTCATAAGTACCTTTCTTTGTCAACCAGGCCATTATATCTTTTTTCGAAGATGATTTTGTCGAGGTTTTATCTTCCTGTACGGAATGATATGGAGCATTGTCAAATACTATTACCGAATTGGCAGGTATATTCGGGAGGACTTTTTCGGTGAGCCAGCGTGTGAAATTTTCCCGATTCATCTGACCGTGGTAATCGCCTGCAGCTAATCCTGCCTTAAATATCAAACAGGCATTGTCAACAAATCCATTTTCTGAACCTGCATGCACTATAATGAGTCGACCTAAAATATACAAGACGATTATATAATATGTTACAAATCAGAGTTAAATTTAACATATATATAGCATTTTTGCTTACCTGTAGAACCTATACTACTTATTACACCCGAAACAGTTTCGCTCTGCCAGCATCTTTTGAAAGTCAAGTCATTGTCCACCCAGGTCCAAATAAACAATATTGCGCCCTTCTTCACGATATCTACGTATTTCACGGATGTGTTTGTACCTCCATTGCAATATATTAGGCCTCTCCATCAAAACTTTTCTTTTATTTTGACATTTGCGCCAAAAAAAACCATTTGATTTTAATAAACTCCTGAGTGTTTCCCTAGAATAGGGGAAATTTGAGTCTTCTCGCGACTTTTGTAATAACTTCCTAGTTGTCGGGACAACTTTATATTCAAGATAAAATCTGTTTATCAAATGTCTAATAATCTGAAAATCAAAATCTTCATCTTTCTCAACAAGAGACTGACGCGGTCTTTTTTTCCGGGACTGGATAACATCTTATTGGGGTTATTTTCTAGTCTTTCTTTATCTTCGTTATGAATTTTCCTAACAGAAGATACTCCGACTCCGGTATAAAGGGACACCCTATCAAGCTTACGTTTAAGCCGCAACTTGAGGGAATTGTTTGCCGCTTCCTCATCGCAAACCCTATAAATAATCATCAGAATGTTAGCTTAGCATTTCCTTGTTTTTTATTTATATTCAGACTCAGTCGTCAAAAACTACAATTATTGCATATTATTATTACTAACCTATAAACAGTCGCAATCACTTCTCTTGTTTGGCTATGAAGCGTCTTTCCGCGAGTAAATTGGTTCATTTTAAAAAATAATACTAAAACGAATAACAATAACAAATAACAAAACACTAAACTATTCAAAAACACACAGCACTAAACATACAAACTTAATAAAACAATAAATAGTTAACAATAATAGTTGTAAAACTCATACACGACAATCAACGGAGATAAAACCTACGCCACTGGACTTTTCAATAGTATGGATATTCTAAGAAAGGAGCAAAAAATTGTCTGGGACGCTACCCAATAGGGAGTCGAATTTTCTCATGGCGACAAAACATGTGAGGATATCCGCCAATCAGATTCGTTCAGGCGGTGTCCAATATACCTTTCGGGTGGTTGTTGCCAGCTCAACCAACTTATAATACGATTCAGTAGTAAAAAATAGTTATTAAATACAAATAGAGCTAACAACACATTAAAATACTCTGTATTTTGAATTATTATTTTTTGGAATTGTGAAAAATCGATTTTCAAATCATTGAAATTACTTCATTATTGCTTTCTTGTAGTTAAATTTGGCAATATCGAATATTTTCGGTCGCATTCCTTTCGCTGTTGCAGATCCGTTTGCCAAACTATACTAACCATCGATTTATCATCTGAGTTTATCAAGTAATAATAAATAGACTCGACCCATTAGTCACGTCAAACAAGTCACATCAATTACCTTTATTGAAACATATTGACCGTATATACATCACATAAATTTCTCAGTTACATTATGCTTTTACATTTTATGACGTCATTCTCCTAGAAATACTTCTGGGGACCCTACATTCCGCCTGGGCTTGATCAGCTTTTTCTTGATCCGATACTGTGTGAGATGGCATCACCTGGAATGTTACTAAAGCGTTTTACATGGTACCATTTCGACAATCAAGTGAACCTTACAGTGACAGTGAAGAGAAATGTCAAAAAATGCAATCGTGCAGGAACAAAAGCAGTACAGGATGATTGTGTCAATTTATAATGAAACCTATGCATTCCATAACAATGACGTCATGGCGAAAACCTGATTCAAAATTGTTAGAACCAGCCCGGTTGGAAACCTGTAATGACCACTGTCACACCTCACTGTGAAATTCGAATGTCCAATACCGCTTTGAACGTTCCTCATTGAACAGTTATTGTTTTTGTTTGAAATCCAACGCGAGAGCATTCCTCAGAAGCAATCAATCATCAAGTAACGTGTATAAATCTGATAATACCTAACAGTACAATTTTTTGGTGTACAAATAATGCATTTAGTGCAAGATCCATGCAGTAATTTTCCCAGTGGAACACAAGGTTCCTGAGTAAAATGCACACACCTAGCAAAAAACTCACGAAAACAGTGCAAAAGCGCATGCAAGTTGAAAGCACTATATATTTTAAAAATGCCATTGAACTTCGGTTTTTCATATGTACAGGTTAGGCCGCGGTTAACAGCTAAGAGCTATCGCACACTGGGTACGGCAGAAAGGAGCATCGAGAAGCATTTTTAGCTTCTACCAGCGCGCACTGGGGATACACATCCCCCGTGTGGGTATTTATTGGAGTGTGGAAACTTACAACAGTTTCTCTAGTCTTTAGAAATGCCGCGGTATGCCAACGCTAACCGACGGCATCTCGAGTGTCACAGCAAGCTCTTCGATGCCTGGAGGGGAAAGTCCTTCCTGTGGCATTTCAGCACACGCTGCGAAATACCGCGGCTAGAGGCGCATAGTGTAATTTTCCAAGTATCAGGCTATATATACAGGGTGTTCGGTGGCAGAATTCGGATTCCAAAATCAAATGTTTTCGTATCCGTTAGGCATATTTAAAGGTTGAAGGAATCGTTAGCAACTGCTCGTTGGTCAACATTTAGATGACATGATTTTTAAGAAACAAAGTCCGCACTATTATTCTTTATAATAATTATCGAAGTACACCCTGGACACCCTGTAGGTACTTCTGTAAGCTTGCGAAATATCGATGGATGCTCGAGGTATCGCGGAGTAAGATCCTCACCAGATGGATTTGGATCTTTGATAAATGCGTAAACCACAATATAATTTGAACCAAAGTGCTGCCGGCTAAGCCGTTTTCAGATGTACGTATAATGAACGCGACCAATGTCACACAGGTTGGCTCACTGACCTTAACTGGGTCTGGGAATGGATTGGACAGCTTCGACATCTTTAACGGAAGAATGACGTTCTTCTGAGTGGTAGAAGCGTCGAATGCCCTGTAACCCTTCTCCTGAGAAGTAGGAACCGAAATTCGTGGATTTTCCTCTTCTTCTGCCTCTTGCGATGATGACTCAATTCTGTTGTCTTGATCTAGACTGATCACAGGAGTTTTCTCGAATACGAACTTCCTCTTAGACGCGTTAGTATCTCTACACACGTTGTATCTAAAATCATCAAACGACAAAGTAGACTGAAAATGAGCATTCGGATTTTTGTTAATGAAAAATGCGATTCAGATTGCCGATTTCATGTTGCGATGCATGCCGTCCGTCCAAAGCGGATCAATGCACTTAGTTCGATGCATGTGATGAGATTCTGTAGGAGAACGCGTGACTTAAGCATACTTCGTTTCATCCAAATGTGCCAATTTGTGCTTAATAGCTAAGAGATTTGAATTTGGTGGTAAATAACATACTATAGGTCTATTGGTGCAAGGGACTCCGATCTACAGGGTGACTTCGAAGTTGAGTCATTTATTTTAACAGTGAGTAGATCTGATCAAAAGAAATGTTTTTTTCCTTTACCATTTTTCTGGTGAAATTAAAGTAACAAAGTTATAGCCCTTTGGAAGTTTGAGTACCGCCCTGTCTCAATAATAATATTATGTGCTCGTGTTTGGCGACAACAGATATAATCCGCCTTATCGGTTCATCGCATCGGAAACAAAAAAGCGAAAGAATTTGGAACGATGTTTTTACAATTATTTCATTCAGTTGTATACAGTCAGTGTCAGTCGGTAGAGAATAGTGGTGTCTGTTGCGTGGCTCAAACGAAATAAAAAATGGCACATGTTTATGCGGATCGGTTTCCCAATCGAGTGCAACCAACCCCTCGTGCCTTTGTTAATGTAGTACAACGGGTTCGTGAATCAGGTGACTTAAGACCTCACATATGGACGGCATGCCGGTGCTCCAAGACCTCACGATCAAATACCGGTCCGCACTGAAATACTTGTCGGGGGGATACTTTATAAAACAAGGTAAAATTTTTTTTTATTTTTTTTTATTTTTACACACATATTTTGGTTTATCTTCCTTCTACAATCATTATCTGAAAATTAATGACTCAACTTCAAAGTCACCCTGTATGTACGTTTAGTTGGAAAGTATGACTTTCTGGTGGGACCGGGCTTTATCGAATTTTGATTATTACTATTATTATTACAAAATAGAAACGAGCAAAGTACAATACTATAAGCTCATGTACAAAAGGAAAACGTAGTCTACGGATAAGTAGCGCAAAATACATAAAGACAAAAAGTTCATAGCTATAAAATTTGTTCACTGTTCCACCTATCGTAATACACTTTGAAGCTATTGACTGACGTAGCATTAACCACACTTTCTGGTAAATTTTTCCAAGTGTGGGACATGCGGTTGGGGAGAAACCATTGTCGGACTGCTTCTTTTGAAGCTTAAGACTATGTCCGCGGAGATTGTTGCGTGATAGTATTATTAGGAGAAAAAATTGAAAAACTGTTCAAACATACATTGTGGTATATAGATATAGCGTTTCAGTTCCGGATGACTACAAAATTAGCATATTTTGATATTTTAATAGTTTTGTTCGTCTTTTTATGAAAGCAGTCAATGTTTTGAGCTACATTTTAAACGTAATATGTGAAATAATCAACAAAATGCCTTATTATGTGGTAGATGCAAATGATTCCAACGAAATAATACATATATTTATTTCCACAACCACATAACACAAGAGGGGTAAATTCTACAATAAATAGACATCTGTTACGCGTGGGAATTCTTATATGTAAACATAATTACAGACTTTCTTCCTCGACATTTTCGTTACAGCTGAACATTTAAACATTGCCCATCAACCCCAAAATAGCTCTGGATTGTCGTATCTCTTATAATGTTCGTACATTTAATGAACTAATGTCGGACGTTAAGACGCTTACTACGGCAATTTCAGTCACAGAACTAATTTTGGCTTTAAAATAGCATAATCGAAATGATCCTCCTAGTAATAACAATTTGATAAAACCGGTTCAAGCCATTTTCTGTTTTACCTGATAGAACTTCCTGAATGTTCCTCTGCGAGTAGGGGTTCTGATGACTGATCTTCAAGACGATTGAGTACGTCACTAGCTTCAAATCTGCTGCTGAATGATCTTATTTGATTTCGTATGTTCACATTCAATCTAGTGGATATTATACGTGCCATGTTACATAATGAAATGATTGTGATTATTCAAATTTTTTCATTGAAGTATGATTGACAGTTTTTTCAATCATTCTCCAATGGCAACGCGCCTGACATGAGCTGACTCGATCCGATTTACAGAATGATGCACAAAAGAGGTTGAAAATCAAATTGACTAGTTTTGCTTATGCTCTAAGAGACAAGAGACTCCTGACTAACGTATTTTATAAATGCTAATTTTTAGGCTGTGAATGGTGTGTAATTAATAACGTATGGATATTAGCTAGCTTGAAAGCAGGGGCGTTTCAAAGAACAATACAGATGGAGCTGACTCGCGATATGCACATTCAGTAAAACTTTGTTTAGTAAAGTCAGACAAAAGCATGTTTTACTTTCTGTATAGGTTTATCACAAAAAACCATGTAATTCATTTTCATCTGAATGTCTGAATGGAAATTTATCCATACCTATAAGCATGTTATAATGCCCACATTAATTGCATGCTCTACAACATAACTAATTTAAAAAACATCAGAGTGATTTCTGTAATTTTATGATTAAAACGCAATTTACGAAACTGCTTTTCTTTAGAATATGGCTTATTTCTAACAAATATAAAATACTTTCACATTGCGAGCATTCTTATGTTTCACTGTTCAAAAACTATAGTTTTGAATAACATGTTTGAAATCCGTTTGTTTTTTACAATTACTTTTTAGTTAATTTATTGTTTGGTGTCAGTAACTTGAAACTTCCTCCATTCCGCTATTCTTTTTTATTAAGACCTGCAAATGGCTTAGAGCACAGTACATTGTTAATTTTCCGACGTGCTTTTTATTGGTTTTGAAGAATATTCTTGAACCACTCGCTGTATATAACATACGTTTACTTGATGAAAATAAACCGCTCGTGATAAAAAATACATATAATATAGGTACTTTATAGTGTTCTTGTAAATTTTTTAGGCATATTTATTCACATGCCTATATTCACGATTCACATTCTAACATTAGGTATTTTGGAGCCTGTGCGATATTTGCCAAGAAATCGGCTACCAATGACTATTTTCACAACCGCAGTAGTACTTTGGATGCTGAGATGGTTGCAATGATTGTAGATTCAAATCTTCAGTCGTTGGAAACTTTTTGCCAATTTCTACGTAGTTAGGTTTTCGCTGTTGACATACTCTATATCTGTAAAGACAAAAAGCTTTTGATACTGTAGGAAATAAAGTTCAAAGAAAAAAGATTGAAATGAAGTATGGTTTATGGTTATCGGGGTTTACAAAATATCGGATATATTCCTAAATCAGGCATTGGTCCATTTTATGTGTGTCTGAGTTTATAATCGGGAAATATTCTAATAACCTTATGAAAAAAAAATGGCGTCAAGTAGACTGACTCTATAAGTACTTCCTACGCCTTCAAAACAACTTCTAGTACAATTTTTCAGGTATCGTAATGTAGTAATGTCATCAGAAAGACGTTGGTTTTGCCAGAACGGTCAGTATACTATTTGGGCTTTTCATGAAAAAGCATTTTCTCAGATTGAAGCCATGAGCCTGTCAGTACACGGTAGGCTCATGTCTTTGGAACTGTGGTGTGAAACTGTTTGTCAACAATATTTGATAACTGATTATAATAGCTCTTGATACGTACTTATATACTATGTAATATATAACCTCACGAAATCAAGTAACCTCGTCGAAATACACTCCAAGCAAAAGCATAGGGCTCGCATATAAACACTGAGAAAAAATTTGTCTGAAGTCTTGAGTGCAATGTGTACGACCGTAAAGAGTGTATAGACATATATGTAAGCTCATCACCGTGTTGCCAATATGTTATACCACTTTCTTGAATTGAGATGCATATTAAAAGTATGCGTTGGTTTATTCTTGACGCCCAAATAATGGCTTTATTTTGAGCGTTTATATTTTTGAATTGTGAATTTTGTCAAATCTGTTTAGGATTGATTTCCGATCGGCGCTAATGGAGCTCGATTTTAGGTTGAAATGAAAGGTCAGGATCGCCTCAAATTCTGCTACATTGCATAATTGGTTCGTTTAATAATACCGTATCTTGTACATTCTAAGGCAAGCGTTCTATTTTCATTATCATAGTTGAGCGACTTTGGTCAGTACACATCTAGCGCTCGTAGGGGAGCGTCCTGTTGCTTCGAAATGGTTTTCACCTGCGTACACGCAGTGATAATTTGTATTGGTTAACGTTATTGGTTACATTTTCCGACCACAGCGCTGCCACAAAATATAAAAATATCATATATAATTCTAAAATAAAGCATCAAAATTGAAATAAATAATTCTAATCAAAATGAAAACAAAATGTTGAACTAAATGCTCGAACAGATCTCCTTCTTGGTTTTGACAGTAACCTAACTTATTGTAGAAGCCTGTGCAGACATTTTCAGGTGTTATATATTGGCAACGCGGCAGATTGCACGACCTTCTGCGTCATCATTGCTAGACTCTCGCAGCAGAATTTTCTAAATCTCTGAGGCCCGAATTTTGAGTCTGATTCCTATGAATTAAACGAGTATGTACAGAAACCCCGAATTTCCATAATTCCTACCACAAATAGATACCTTATTACAGGAGGGACAGGAGGCTCTTCTTCCACATTTACAATTTTCTCGTTTTTAGCTGATTTGTATGGATTCTTCTCGCCAACACCCTTTGCTTGGAGCTCAGACAAACCTGACTTACCCAATTTTCCCCAATTTAGAGTGCCTTGCGATACCTTCCGTACGAGAGTCGAGGTCATTTTTACAGTTAATTTGAGATATGCCAATAATTTCACTTTCAATTAATTTGACAATAATGATAAGACGTGCAAAAGCGTTCTGTTTTTATTGAGGACATTTGTAGGGGATACAGGATGTAGTTTCTGTAAAGCTCAGGAAAAGAATATTTTATTAGATTTAAAATAAATGGCTGAAATTTAGCATAGTGCTATTAGGAAAAATTATTCGTCACCTCATCTGAAACATTATTCCGAAAATATTGCCGTTGTCACAAAATGTCTCTAAATGCCTCTAAACATGTGTGGTGGTGTCCCGTCATGAAGAAACCACAAATTCTGTCTCCGTTGTAATGGCATGTTGTCTAAGGTCTGTTCCAAAAGTTCTGGTAGGTTATTGGCTAGAAGGCTAAGGTATCCTTCTCCTGACAACTTTGGGGGTAACTCGAAAGGGCCAATTACCTGATTGTCAAGAATACCCGCACAAATATTTATTTTAAAACGTTGTTGGAAATGACCTTCACGAATGGTATGAGGATTTTCTTGGGCCCACGTGTGAGTATTATGGAAATTTAATATCCCGTCTCGCGTAAAAGTACATTCGTCCGTCGCTAGAATGTTTTTAAAAATATCAGGATTTTCACTGTTTTTGTGCAAAAACCACTGACAGAATGTTATCCTGCGTGGAAAGTATTCTGGTAACAAGGCCTACACTCGTTGTAAGTGGTAGGGATAAAGCAAATTTTCCCGTAGGATTCTATGGACTATGGTAAGCTATAGTCCTACGCGGCGGCCTAATTCCCGAGTGCTGATATTTGCATTAATTTCCACGATATTTAAAATTTGTTCGTTCTGCTCTGCAGTAACCTGTCTTTCACGAGTGCGAATATTAGTGCGCTAAACACTTCCTGTAGCTCGAAGTCTCTGGTACACTTACACAAATGTCCTTCTGTCTGGGTGTACCCGTTGCCGAAATCTGTCGCGATAAATTTGAGCTGCAAGATTTGAATTCTGACGAGCTTCACCGTAAACTAACAACATGTCGGCGAACTCTTGATTCAAGAACATTGTAAATAAACATGACGACGTACGCGAACAAAAACAAAACAACACACCCGATGCTCTGCTTGACAAAAGGATAAAGTAATTTATCTATGCAAAACGATAACTACCCACTGTTACCGTTTGCGATCGATTGCCGATTCGATAAGAGTGATGAAAGACCGACGCGCTGTTGTCATATGTGTTTTAAATATTTAATTTAATGAAACTCACTTACTGACTACAAATTTTGACTTAGAAAAACTTACTGCCATTTATTTGTTAATTACCCAATTTAAAAATGTTTTAGATTAGATTATAAAAATTAGTAAGATTGTGGTGATTGTGGTCGTTATAAAGCACTTAAAGTTGCAAAGTATAAAGCCATTTAGACAAAAATCTATTGACTTTTGGACCATGGGTGGGAAAATAATAGTAATTATTACTTGTCTGTTATTTACTTTTTGCTATTTCACATCCATTGGGCCGACTCCCAAAACCTACAGGGTGACTTTGAAGTTGAGTCATTAATTTTCAGATAATGATTGTAGAAGGAAGATAAACCAGAATATGTGTGTAAAAATAAAAAAAAATGTTTACCTTGTTTTATAAAGTATCCTCCCGACAAGTATTTCAGTGCGGACCTGTATTTGATCGTGAGGTCCCCTGTGAGGTCTCAAGTCACCTGATTCACGAGCCCGTTGTACTACACTAACAAAGGCACGAGGGGTTGGTTGCACTCGATTGGGAAACCGATCCGCATAAACATTTTTTATTTCGTTTGAGCCACGCAACAGACACTATTCACACGCTAACCGACAGACACTGACTGTATGTATAACTGAACTGAATAAAATACTTAATTGCAAAAACATCGTTCCAAATTCTTTCGCTTTTTTGTTTCCGATGCGATGAACCGGTAAGGCGGATTATATCCGTTGTTGCCAAACACGAGTACATGATATTATTATTGAGACAGGGCGGTACTCAAACTTCCAAAGGGCTATAACTTTGTTACTTTAATTTTACCAGAAAAATGGTAAAGGAAAAAAACATTTCTTTTGATCAGATCTACTCACTGTTAAAATAAATGACTCAACTTCGAAGTCACCCTGTATAATGTACTCGTACTTATGCATAGTAGTAGTTGGTCATTTTCGATTATGAATGTAAATGAGAAAAAAATTAGATTTTTCTATTTTCAGGTGGTGAGTGAAATCATCAAGGCAATGCAGAAAATCAATCCGCTTTTTAAACAAATGTTCGAAAGAACGTTTTATGGTGGTAGTTACTATGATGGAATTAAGGTTGGAAAACCTGAAGAGTATGATTTAGATTTGGTTTTAAACCTACCCGTTCTCAGTAAACCCGTGGTAGAAGTAGGTGACAAACCAGGCTTTGTTCAGGTCCGCATCATGGAGTTTGATAAATTTCTCAATCAGCCGGACCAGTACAAAAAGTATGAGTAAGTACCACATAATTTGATTATACTAGATGTTTCGATGGACTGGAGACATAAATATGCGTGGAATATTATAAAAAAGAGTGGCTTCAATTCAAGCAATCTGGAAGTAGCTGAATTCAGAAGGCGCAAAAGATCCGGTCAAACAGTGAAAAATATTAAACGAAAATGGGAGGTACCTTCCAGAAAAAAATGTTCATCTCGCACTTTTACTACACAAAATTAGCTCCAAATGTAGTTGTTTTTTTAAGATTATTTTAAGGTGGCCCCTTGAGTTTGATCACAACTTATCGAAAATATTACCTCAAAAACATCCCGCAAAAATCTCGTGTAGAATATTTTTTTGCTAATTACACATCAAACGTGTTTTAAGTATCAATATTCTTTCCAGGAGTAGATTCCGCGATACAGTGCCTCCAGATTGTCACTCCCTGTCTTATTACATTAAGTTTTAGGTTCAGTAGACGATATCTAATAGTTGTTTAATATTCGTTTATGTTATCTACATTCCTACCCGGCCGGTTGATAAATGCTGTAATTCTATTACATGTACAGGGTGAAGTATTGCTCGGGGACACACATTTTTTTACTAAACTGAGTTCCAGAGAGCACAGAAAGTTGCTTTTTACACGTTCCTATATATTTTAGTACAGAATTTGTAGGCCTAAATACTCTTGCGTCAAGTTTTTTAAGATATTATATATTTTATCTAAAAGACATGAATGTGTATCACTTATGACTAGATATATATGTATCAGATATTGTCTTACAGAAAATTCAGTACTGTCTATTAACTAGATCAAGGGTACTGGTTGCCAGACACTTTCATTTTATTATAGACAAAATACGTAATTATTGTCTGAACAGCTACTCACCAAAACAAAGTAATAGGTATCTATCGAAAAAGTAAAATTCTGAATATTTTTAGAATGGCAATGGTGCAGGATAATCCAGAACAATTCTTGAAAAAGTTTGTGCGCCAGAGCAAAATACTCCATCCATTCAAGTTTGGGCCACCCTGTACATGTGACAGAGTTGCAATGTTGCTATTATTTAAAAATCCTACAAAAGATAAAAAAAACGATATGTCACTTTGCAGACTAGGAAGTTTTTAGGGTGCAAATATGTAGTTCATTCCGCGTTTGCTCGCTGTGATAGCTGTGAGCGTCCATCTATGGAGGAATTACTCAACTGCACGCATTGTTGATTGCAGAAAGCAAGTATATGTTTTGTGAACCCGAGTAGTCTGCAGTGCTTATCTCTGAGAAGATGTGAAAAAAAGAAAGTAGGTTGAGTAGCAAGATCGCATCTGGATGATTGTGTATTGGTCTTCATCTGTATAAAATCAGTGATATTTTTGCTCTGTAAGAAAATTATTACTGAATATGCTGCCAATGGAGTAGGACAGGTTATGTTCAAAGTTATAAATTATGATTTTTCCCGTTTTTTTTTTTGTGTGATTCAAAAAGGAGCCTTACGGGTAATCGCCAGCGCGCCCGCGTTGTGTGTAATTGAGCCAGATCACAGAAAAATGAGGAACGACGCGTCATCTTTGCAGTGCCTCACATCTAGGCGCTGATTTGTATTTTCTATTGACATCGCAAAAAAATTTCAACAAAATTTAAATGACTGGAAATAAAAATTAATGTAATGTAATAACCTTTTCACTTTCATAAATATTCCTGTCTGTAGCATATTTTCTCACCTATTACTTCAGCAACCAGGGATTTTCTTTTCTTATCGCTCTCATTTTTTGAAATTCAGCAAATTTCCATATGTAATTTCCAGAATGAATAAGAAAAAGTGCATGCGTAACTAATTTCTAGCTTTGAATCTCAATTAAGTGTATTTGGGACAAGAAACCACTGGAATTATCATTAACACACAAATCCTCACTATGCACCTATGCACTGCCGTTTCTTTCCAGCTATAGTATACAACTTACCGCTTAGACCTCCAATAATGCTATCTCTGAAGCAAATGTTACATCACATCAGAGCCAAACATTGGTAACTGAAACATCATGACGTTTAGGCAACACGTACAACTACAAAACGAGTTCACAACAAGTGTGCCAAGTTAACATCTTACGTTATGTTAAAAAAAGGGCCAAATGACTCGTGCTGGCTAGTAGAGATGATGATACTAACTTAAGTAAATATCAAACAGGTACTACATATCGTGTGCTGAACCCACAATAAGCTGTTTTAGGGTACGGACTGCCTAATTTGGAGGCCCTGTATCTCAGAAACTATTCATGGAAAAACTTTGGACCCATTGAATTAAAAAACAGCCGAAGGCCATTTCCCATAGGGTTTCTGCGATGCCTTTTGAGGAAGATATTTCTTTATTATGCATTAGCCGGAAGACATAAATCATGCTATCCTAATTTGGGGAGCAGCCAACAAAACTTACATAGAGAAAGCACAAAAACTATTCTTAAAAACTATACATAATAAACCAATTACATATCCAACAGAAACTTTGTATGCTGAAACTCAAATTCTTGATATTAATCAACTATGTTTTGACTACATGGCCACAGACCAACATAGCAATAAAAATATTGTGTTGAATACAAGCATCGTACAAGAAATAGAAAAAATAGTGAAAATTCCCCAATTAGGAAAGAACTCATTGCTACGATGTTGGACCTTTCTATGTCCAAGATCTTATATCCTTCTACCACCTGAAATAAATAGACAAACAAACAAAAAGGAGCTAAAGAAATGCACCTTGATGTAAAATTTATTAAGATATGGACCTAAAGAATACTTATTAGGAATAACCTTTTCCCATATTTCTGGAGCGAATAAATTAATGTTCTGTTTACCTTTATCATTCAGGATATTACCTTATTTCTTCAAATTAAATATCAAGATATTTCATTGTGGTTACTTTCAACTTACGTGCAATAATGTATGTTGCAAATAATATGTATGTGCCCCCCCTAGACGTCTGACACTTGCTTTTGTAATCTAACACCATTGTGTTGCTTTCTGACATATCATGGCGACAGAGACATACTAACTATAGCTATGGGAACTGAACATTGCTATTTTTCGTAGCCTTTGGTATTACAAGCGCTGTCCCTCTTCGACATCACTTACGATTACAGCACAATTCTTACGATTTATACGTATATTTGAGTATTGTGACTTGTGACAAATCTCAGTCTGATCAATATATTAGCTATACAGATTGCACTCCAAAAGTGATTTATGTTCTGTTTGTGGCTCAATAGTAATTTGTAAAGTGTGTGAAGCTTGAGTGATTTTGTTCGGGGTTGGTGTTGCAGCGAAGCACTATTAGTCTAATCATATTAGATGAAAATATCACTGGTTTGCGAAATAATTGTAAAGTCTGGCTTTATTTATACAAGTCGTTGAGGGGGGTATTTAAAACATCGAAGCATAAAATGGATACACCAATTTTTGTGGGAAAACTTTTTATTCGACAACAAAGAAGGGGAAAACGTATTTTTTGAGATTCAATCGAAAGTACTGGCAGGAACGAAAAAACTCTTTATGCAAGATTTTTAGGTATTTATGAGACCTACAAAATGAGACCACACGTAAAAAGATCCGACTAATAGCAAAAAACTTATGGCCGAAAACCGAAGCAAATTGCAGGTTTTGACACTTGTTGGTAATGCGAAGATGGTTTCTCGCAGATATTTGAAATTCTTCAAATTCGTAGGATTTTTACTTCTAAATAACCACAACAAAGTTCGAATAGATTGATCAAGTAGTTTTTTGAGAATTTCTAATTGTTTTTCCCAAAACACCTGTTTTCCGGCCATCACTACTAGTTTATTGAGCAATATACAGGGTTAGTTGAAATGACATTTTATAGCAAAATACACTAGTTTACCTTGTCGATATGAATCGCAAACCATTCCGGAAGATAAATTTTATTTTCATGCAAAAAGGATGGGTTACGTTTTTTCTTCTAAACAAATTCAAACATTCCGTATTTGTAATTCCAAACGAAAGATGATAAACACATTCGCTTTGCTTTAAAATGTGTATAGTAACGTATGTATTTCAAATATCATAGCATATTTGTTCAATTACTCACAAATACGAAATATTTGAATTTGCTTTGTTTTTCGCATAAAAATAACATTTATCTTTCGGAATGGTTTGTGATTCATATCGGCAAGGTAAAAACGTGTATTTTGCTATTAAATGTTCTTTTAACTAACCCTGGATATTCCTCAATAAACTAGTAGTGATTGCCGGAAAACAGGTGTTTTGGGATAAACAATTAGAAATTCTCAAAAAACTACTTTAGTATACTACAATTTTGCTGTAATTATGATAGAGAGTAGTATGAATCCTACGAATTTGACGAATTTCAATTAGTTGCGTGAAATTATCGTCGCATTACCAACAAGTAAAAAAAATTGCATTTTGCCTCGTTTTTCGGCCATAACATTTTTGCTATTAATCGGATCTTTTTCATGTGGTCTCATTTTGTAGGCCTCATAAATACTTAAAAATATTATATGGAAAGTATTTTCGTTCCTGTCAACACTTTCGATTGAATCCCAAAAAACACTCATTTATTGTCAAATAAAAAGTTTTTCCTCAAAAATTGGTGTAGCCATTTTATGCGTCCATGTTTAAAATACCCCCTTGAACAACTTGCACCAATAAAACCGGACTTTACATCTATTTCGGGGAAATTTGCTGATATGATTAGAGTAGTATATGTTAGATGAACGCCTAAATTGGAAATATACATTTATGAGATTTGTTTAGCCTGTGGCCTGTACTGAAAATGCGTCGATCGATGATCCCGCGTATGTTTCTATTTATGTTGCTGTATAAAATTCGTTTAAATCACAGAGCTTCTGCACTACACTTGAATATGTAATGCCCTGTATTCCTGTACTTCTTTCGTACAAGCATACATTATCAAAATAATTACGATCTAACAGATATAGTTTTTTTTCCAAAGATTTTCAACATTTTTACATGCGATCAACACCGCTTCGAAAACTGAGGAAACAACAACAATGCCGTAAATCTAAGTTCCACAACGAAAGTCTGAACAATAACTGTAACATCTATATTGAATTTCAAAAAATATTTGACTATACCTATTGATATTTTTATCACCTGATACAATAGAAGTGCTTGATTGTGTCAGTATTTGCACCAATTACTTGATTTGTTTAATGGATAGTTCATAATCTTTATCCTTATGCTTAGTACACACTAGTAGACCCCGTTGCGCAATTTGTCTATAGACATCCTTCTTTGTCCCGTCTAGAGTCCATACGATATAGTGAATTTTTCGGTCTCATGTTCGATTTCGCCATCAAAGACACTGTTTTGTGTGGGATGGACTGGGATATGTCTCAGGGTCCCTCAGAATGTTTTTTTTTTCAGTTAACAGAGCATTGAAGTTTTTTACGTTTCAATTTTTAATAGATATTATTACACTAGTTAATTATAAATGACACGTACATCTTTTGTTCTCATATAATTGCATTTCTGAGGATTACTGAACATTTTCCATGTTTTTTTTTCAAGCTGGCATTGACCAAATATAAGACAATGGATGTAAGGAGTAATAATAGGATAAATTACATAAGTTCCACTGAATTTGAAAAATTACCAGCCCCAAATATTGTTTGCGCCTCCCCCTAGACGAAATTATAAAACCGCCCTTGAATTCATCTATATTGTGAATAGTCAAATGGGCCATGTACAACGAACTTTTATTTCTTTCTTTGGGATCGTTCATATTTATTCCAATGTTATTTGTAAACATTTTGAAAAAAATACTATTATTATTACTTCATTTGATAAACAACGACAGCAATATCTAAAAATCTTACCGCTATGGAAGCTGTGTGCGGTCCATGTACAGTGCGGTATCTTTGCTATTAAACGCTTTATGTGTGGTTGCTTGCCCGGCGGTTAGATAGACATTTTACCTCAGACTAGTAACACTTCAATAAAAATAACATTTGTTTCCAGCAAAATAAAAACTCTTTTCGACGATAGAATGTATCTTTCTACTGAAAACGTTCTCCGTTGGACGGAGAAAATTGTAACCTTGGCGCTAAATGATATGGGTAGAACAAATAGTGATAGAAAAGGCTTTAAATTCAATGTTGAATTGTCTGATAATGAGACTTTGGTAATGTATGTAAGTATAAAAAATTGTGTAGATGTAGTTTATGGTAGGATAAGGTTTTCATAATCATTGAACGGTTGAACAATGGACCATGAGATAAAGAAAAACGCATTTTATTAGCTTATATAATATGGTAAACAGCAAAGGCTCTAAACCGACGTCGCTTCAAAAATAATTCTTTATTAAGGATGCCAGAAGAAATCCAAGAATTGAGGCAAAATTAGCTGAGTTGATATTAAAAGTGCATTCAGTATACTCACTACTTATTTTTTGAAGGGGTCAAGTTAGTAAGTTGGAATTCGGGGTCATGCAATCGATGCGTTGATACTATATTTTTGCATAAAATTTCAATTTGTCCAAAAACAATTTGGTATTTAATTTTTGACCTAAGAACTATGAAATTATATCGCAATACATTTATTTATTGTTAGCAGTTGTGAGAATATGTCTTTCTAAACTCTCTAAAATATTGTGATATTCATGACCATCATATACTACTCGTAGAAGTAGAACGAACTTTTATGTTGAAAATTTTTCTCACACTATTTTAACATATAACCAGATACACTAAAAGACACGGATTCATTGCAAATAGTAATAAAAAACTTTAAAAACAGTCTAGTCCAGAAATGCTTTTATAACCTGTTAGATGTTACTAATATTGTTTTATAAAGGTTTTCATGAATATCTGAATCACTCACATAATTTTGTAAAGGTTTTATCAACTTCCTACATGTTTCTTCATTTATTGTATTTTTATTTTTTCGTTCAAACGTGTGTGTGATTTATATGTATTGTTTTTATATTTTTTAACCTGCCAAAGTGCACTTGACGAAGCTGATATGTATTATTAAATCATATGGCTAATAAATCAATTCTGAATGATCCATATTTTATAGATAGATCCTTCCAGAATAATAAGATTGATATGACATACAGTTATGATAATTAGCAAGTGATTTAATGTACAAAATTTCAGCTTGGTAAGTTGATCCCTTCAAAAATGGGGAACCTTTTTGAAAAGCACTATATAGGTACGTAGCCAGCGGAGTTTCCGAATTCTATCCGATTACCTCTGACACACTTAGTGAATTAAGAATCATGCAAGAAGTATTAAGTATTGGTGAATTAACGCGTGCAATTGTTGGTATGAAAAAAATAATAGAGGCATTTTTATTTTTGTCAGGCTATTGTGGCGAAATCTTATCCAGCATTTACTTTGAAGCTTGACAGCGAAGATGGAAGGATCAAGCTGGATATTGACCTCGTGCCTTGCTTTCAGTTTAAAGATAATCAATGGCCAAGAGGACAATACAGAGAGAATCCCTTCCCTAGGCAACGGGTATGGCAGCAATACTAATAGAGTGTATAATATAAGATCGTAATTATACTATCCTCAAAATCATCTTACTTGTTGACTTAAGTACTTGGACAAATATAGGCAGTATAAGGAAACCAAAATGGATACAAATCATAGTAAAACAGATTTTATTCGTGAAGTTATTGATAACATAATTTTGAGATATCAGATCTTAGAAAACATTCTTGTTTCGTTATAATAATTCATTTCTAGAGGCTTGGTCATATTAAACTTCTCATGCAAAGATACACCAAATTCAAAGAAAATATTGAGTTTGGTTGTTACCTTACATATGTGTATACATATAAAAAACATGAATATACCTTTATGAAGGTTGAGTGTAAGAACACTCATAGTGAACTCTGCCTTTTAATTGGCATCTATTACTATTATGTTTCCAACAAATCATGATTACTTACATTAGCTGAAAAAGTGAGAATAAGCCTTGAAAATCTTTTTTTTTCTAAAATATTTGGTATTAGGAATTTTCTTGTAATTTCTGCTAATTTATTATACAAAGTAGGGTGTATCCCAAAAGTCAAGGTTAAAGCGAAAGGGGGTGTAAGCACTATTACTTTTTATCAAATTATGTTTTGTTATTTCTCTATCAGCTTTACATGATGTGATCCCAAATAATATATCGTTGAAGAAAAACTATCGGTGAAAAATTAGCTCAGCTAATGTAGGTATAGCAATCGGCTGAACCGTAATTTTATCTATTGTCAAAAATATTACGGCATTTTCAAGTGGGCTTGTAGAAAAAGATAGTGGGCAGATAAACTGTACATAGTCAGGAAAACTTACAGAGATTATGGCTTTGCAAAATATCTTTTCAGTAATAAAATATCTTATCTAAGATAGAAAGAATGATGCAGGTATGCTTAATCTTGAAAATTCCCATTTTATGAACTTATCCAATAACAACCATTGTCAATTTTCTATATTCCGGATAGAATATAAAACGATTGACTGGCTGTAAATTGAAATCAATGCCAGGTCTAACTGCGGTTATAATACCCGGTAATAAGGCACTGTCTATGTAATACTTTCATTATCCAAAAATATGCATCAGTGCAAAACCTCGAGCGGTTATCTATCGCCCCAAAAATCAGCTTGACAAACCATTTATAGAGGTGGCCATCGTCAGATTTTCACTTACTTGCCTACAATGCGTTGAGGTTTTCAAAAGATCATATCCACTTGTTTGTTTCCCGTTTCGTCTGTCTCCACGACTAGACATAATACCTTTACCTCGCTGATGAGTTGCTAATTTATCACGAAACAGCGATGTCTGCGGTTGGTCATGGTTACAGGAGACGAAAAGCAATTCTGGCCGTAAACATTATTTCATTATAGGACAAATTTCTGGTGGTTCCAAAGAAGCCACGTGATACAAAAAACTGTGACAACATCGACAGGTATTGGCGCCTTTCCTTCCAGGAACAGGAAAGAGCACTTATTACCGGACCAATGACAAACACATTGAAGCCAGCAATACGGTTACTAAAGGTGTGTTACTTTAGATGTTACATTATACGATGTTCTGAATAATGATTTTTCAGAAACTAAGGGACCATCATAAACATAGCATTGCTAGCTACCATATCAAAACGGTGTCTTTGTGGCAACTATTAGAAGTAGATGCTGAAAAATGGCGTCTACCGCTTAGTTCAGTTTTTATGATGGTAAGAAGATATACATTCATTGTCTGAATGTGATGACGATTGTACCTAAATGATACTGTTAAATCAAATAGTGAGGATTAATTTTTAATTAATATATGTATAATACATCTGTCTCAGAGATATGCATTTTCAAAAAACTTGCAACCTTTACAGATGTTGAGAAAATATGCAGAAACGATGAATGACAAATGTATCCCGTACTACTGGAATAAAGAATTCAACATGATTGGTCATTATGCAGAGGTTACATTAAAAGACATCGGAAATACCTTGAATAATATAATCAAAACTATCGACCGCTATGTTGATTCAGATCCATTCATAGTAGCTAAATTTCTAAGTAAGTATTTTCGTTTTTGTTTTTTTGTCACTCCCAGCTATCACGATTTTCAAAGCAAATAAGGTGTACTCGGAATAAGGAAGCGTGAAATGAAGGAATGACTATATGCATACAGCATTTTTTATTTTCAGTTGGTCCTGCCGAGATAGAAGAACTGAGAATGGATCCTAGCATACTGGGTAAAAAGGTACTTAAGAAAATGGCTTCAATGAATAGTTCTCAATCTCAACAAATATTAATTTCGCCCCCCACTGACCTAGCTGCATTTTCGCAATGTTTATCGCGCGCATTGGCTACTGCTATGCCATCAGCTAGTTCTTCTGCTACGAACAAAGTTGATCTAGCTGTGATATCGGATCACATCGATTTAAAAACTCTGACCTCTAATGCTACTGAGAAAAATAATATTGTAAAAAGTACGGATGAAGATGAGGGTTGCAATGATAGTCAAAGAACTACTGATAACAATGTTATAATTGTTGAAAACAAAGACTTAATTTCAATAAACCCCGAAGTTGATAGCAGTTTCAGCAGCAGTAATATCTCAATTAACTATGATTCCAAACAATGCTTAAGTCAGGTGATTGATGTATCAAGTTTCGAAATCGCTAAAACTAGTAGTAGCGATGGTGGAAATACTAACGACTCAAATAAAAATGTCATGGGCAAAGTAATGGGCAGTAAATTTTCTGAAAGCAGTGTCGAAAATATTGACAGTGCTCTTTCAAATAGTAATCGAAGCTCAAGTCAGGTGTCTGATGTATCAAGGAGGCCAAATGGAGTTAGTAGCGATGCTGAAAATAGTAACGACTCTAGTAAATATGTCATGTCCAAAATAACACCTAGTGAAATTTCTGGAAGCAATGTCGAAAGTAATAAAAATGCTTTTCCAAACATTACTAATGAGATAGACGTTGAGGAAGGTAGTATAGAGAAAAAACCAAAATTAAATGAAATAAACAATGGTTTTGAAAGAAATGACAACAATAATACTAGTAAAGTTTCTAATAATGCTGAATTAAAAGTTTTAGAAGATGATATAAGCAAAGAACAAAATTTGAAAGCAAGAAATAATTTTGAAACTGGTACCAGGAATAATTCTATTAGTGTTGGTGATAGCATTGATAAAGAATTCGAAAATGGAATTTTCTCTATTTTGAAAAGACTAGAAAGAGGACAGGAGAATCTATATAAAGTTTGTACGAAGTTGTCCGAAAAAATGGAATTTCTTGAAAGTCGGATTGATGCCATGAATCGGAAAAATGAATCATCCTCGAAAGAACCATTGTTATACAAAATGAACGTTAGTAATGCTAGTTCCGATTCAAAAACCATAGGGAATATTAGTGAATCCTTCGAGCGATTGAACAAAAAAGCTGATACCATTTTCGATACGCTGAAAACATTACAAGATAGTAACGAAGAATTGCTAGAAATATGTCAGCCTTTAAGTGACAGAGTACAAAAACTAGAGCGCAAGTTCGATAATATAAACAAAGATCTTAAGCCAGAACAAAGTTCAGATTCAGATGATTTACTTTTTAATATGAATAATATAGTAAGAATGAGAAAACAGTCAAGTCAGCACGGAATGTTTAATTGAATAATTATTTGTAATGAATTAAAACGGCCTTAAGAGCAAGGTCTGAAAGTATTGACATATCTCTACCTAGCAACTATTTTTGTTCAGGGATGATATGTACCACAAGATGCCGACCATATGGTAACGGATGCAAATATGATGCAAATTCGGCAGGCAATGCGTACAGATTTAGGCATTCGAATATGATGATAAGTACAATTTGTGAAAACCATAAATTCGTTAATTTTGGCATGAAAAACAAGTTTGAAATCGCTTTAAAGTGAATTAATCTCATAATACGAGAGCAAGGTTTTAAGTTCAACTTACATACTTCGCAATATCAAAAACTATGATTTTTTACCGAGTTTTAAAGCATTCAATATACCCGGACGATAACACAGATCACATATGTTTAAACATTATTTTAAAATAAATTACATTTTTTGCTCGGACAGATTTTTTCAGGTTTTTTAATCATACCAAACAAAAAAGGTTTCCATTAATTTTTCTCTAAAGCTGGCATTTCGAGTTATAAGCGGTTTAATGCCAATTTGCATTCATACAGATTGAACCCAAGTTATGACATCCATACCAGAATTTACCAAATTTCTGTAGTCATGTTTGGGTACATGTTGCTAGATATTTTGATGATTGAAAATATACCGGAGAAGATCTTTGCACCAACATTTCGTGGTATATATGGAATTCCAATTAATTTATTTATTATATGATCAATCGAATTCTAGAATAAGTGTGACTGATTTGCAAAACGATTTTTCTCTTGAAGTAGTTCATCTGTAAGTCACAGCATTAGTTTAGACTTAATATATATATATATATATATATATATTTGTATGTCAGCCTATCATTTCTTTCATCGTTTCGCTTTAACATACTTTCATACGCAGTATGCTCCTAAAAAGCCCCAACCACTAACTCAGCATGGCGTCAATGAACCACCGCCTCAATCTACTACTCGTACTGTTGAGACTAGTGCAGCCAAGGCAAATACGTCTACAGATACCTCAAGTCAATGGTGTAGAGCATCATAGCATGGACTCAGAGAGATTTATTTCTCTCACTTTCATTTTGAAGGTTAGTTGAATTGAGGGTAACGATATTCGGTTACTTTATCGCATCGAGGTGACCGTCACCCGTTTGTTAGATGGTCAAGTATATCTCGTATTATTCTCACGATTAGTTCTGTTCACTAAAAAAATGGCAACAAGTGGATTGACTCTATATATACTCCCAAGCCTTCTAGTATAATTTTCCATGTAGTGCAATGGCTCCAAATAGACGTAGGTTTTGTCATAAACATAGTGTAGTCTTTGAACATGTCCGTAACCTCATTTCTTTGGATCTCTGATGGTGTGAAACTGTTTGTCAATAATGTTTGTTAACTGATTATAACAGCTCTTCATACGTACTCATATGCTAGATACGCTATATACAGGGTGGCCCATTCATGTGTGGACGGAATATTACTCATAAACACATTTTGGGAAAATCTATTTATGGCATGTTATACATGACTTTTGGGGACACATTTCTAAAATATTGGCAATTATACAGGGTGTCCCAATTTTGACATACATATCAAAGTTGTGATTTTATAAATGGAATGCCTCAAATTCTATTGCATATTTGGATAAACCAATTCCAAAGAAGAAGATTGATATGACATACAGCTACTGGCATGTAAGGTGTTTTGGCCAGAAAAACGGTCCACTTCGGCAACCCCTCAATCCGCCATTTTGAAATTTGGGAGTGCTGAATTTTGTATAAAAAAACCTACACACCTCAGCTTTTATCTTATTTGTTACTTTTTCGAATTTTCATTTTTGCTCATACAGGGTGGTCAAAAACGCGAATTGTACTTTTTCTCAAAAATCTCAAATGCATCACCCTGTATATTTATTCAAGTTTGGATTCAAGTTTTTATAAGCTTTTTTTGGTATAACGTTTGATGCTGATACAATCACTAGATTTTGATTTATTAAGCTTTTAATAGAACAACGCTACAAAATTAAGGAAAAAACACATCATCCATGGAAACAAAAGACAAACAGTCGGCTAGTTCCCTATTGCCACTAAGAGTGCAGATTTGACGTAAAAACTGATATCAGAACAGTATAAATCAGCTTCAAGCGTAATAGAGAAAAACAACTATAACAACAACATAAACAAACAACTACCACTACTCAAGACCTAATCTACAAAAACTCCTCGAAAATATCTCCAGGATGTTGAATACACAGCCGTAGTCTTTGGATAAATGACCGTTGCACATCCCTCAGCATGTGTTCCCTTATGTTCAGAAAAGCATCCTTAATCATTTCCTTCATATTTTCCGGGGTAGATGGTGGGTATCTATAAACCTCTTGCTTAACGTAGCCCCATAGAAAGAAGTCCATCGGTGTGATATCTGGTGATCTAGGAGGACAAGATATAGGCCCATCACGACCGATCCAACGATTGTTACTCCAGGTGTCCAAATAGTTAAGCACACGATTATGATAATGCGCAGGTGCGCCGTCATATTGCAAGTATATATGCATCCGAGTTTGCAAGGTGAAATCCTCCAAAAGCACAGGCAAATGCTCGATCAAAAAATTCAAGTATTGTGTACCTGTTAATCTGTTGTCGAAAAAGAAAGTCCCGATAACTTGTCTGCCAATAACTCCTTCCCAAACATGCTAGCTATATTTATTTTGGAAATCTATTTGTCTAACCCAGTAAGGGTTTTCCGTCGCATAATAGTGCAATGTTATGCCTGTTGACAACACCTAAGCTGTTAAAAGTTGCCTCATCGCTAAAAAGAACCTTATCCAGGAAAGTAGTAGTAGGACAGAAGTTCTGCATATCTCAGTTTCTGTTCCAATTTGCCGTGCACTTAAATGGGGATTTTCATGCAACTTTAATAGAACCTCCAACTGATTCGCCTCATTGGTGACACTTCTTGGGTAATTTTTACATGTTTTACTATTTTCAACTACTCCACTTGATTCAAAACGTTCTCGTATCGTGGAAAATGTTTCCGTCCTTGAATGTCGTATATTAGGGTACCGTTGCCAATAAATGCGAGATGCTAGGAAACTATTTATCTGGGCTCCGTCCAAAACGAACACCATATTCACCATTTTTTCTTTAGAAAAATTCATCTTCAAACATGTTTTTATTATAATGCTCACAAAGCTAATTTTGACAGTTTGTAACTGATCAACAATTTATTTGTTTCCAAGGATGATGCGATATTTTAGGGAATCAAGCCGTTCCATAAAATAGGTGATAATAGCCGTAAACACGCTTATGTGTCTAGTATCAAAAAAAGCTTATAAAAAATTTAATCCGCACCTGCACAAATATACAGGCATTTGAAATTTTTGAGAAAAACTACAATTTGCGTTTTTGACCAACCTGTATGAGCAAAAATTAAAATTCGAAAAAGTAACAAATAAGATAAAAGCTTAGGTGTATAAGTCTTTTTTGATACAAAATTCAGCACTCCAAATTTCAAAATGGCGGACTGAGGGGTTGCCGAAGTGGAGGGTTTTCTAGACAAAACACCTTATATATCAGTAGCTAATTACCGAAACTCCACAGTATGTTTTATCAATTTTCTTCTTTTGAATTGGTTTACCCAAATATGCAATAAAATTTGAGGCGTTCCATTTGAAAAATCACAACTTTGATATGTAGGGCAAAATTGGGACACCCTGTATAATGGCCAATATTTTAGAAATGTGCCCTCAAATGTCATGTATAACATCCCATACATAGATTTTCCCAAAATGTATTGGTTTATGAGTAATATTTCGCCCACACATGGATGGGCCACCCTGTATATAAATAATGTTACCTCACAAAATCAAGTAACCCCATTAAATTACACTTCAAGCATTTTTTTTTTAGTTTTAATTGAAAATTTAAATAGGTGCATAGAATTACCGGAGTTACACTCGCCACCAGTCCCCGTACAACTCCGCACCCTCAATTTTTCAAAAAAATTAGGATCCTCTGATTTTTCTCTCTGCCACTAGGCCGATTTTCAAAGATTACAAAACTGTTACGTCCATGGTTTTTCGTGACGTAAATACATGTTATATAACACCCAAAAAACATATTTCATTTTCGTATTTTTTTTTCACGATTATAATATGTCCTTGTCAGTAGGCGTAGGAAGTAAAATGATGGACGTTTGATGAGCATCTCGATACGATAATAATTACAGAATGCTGCTCGCTGCTCTCGTATTATGTGAACGGATTGGCCGCTTATATACTAAGTGACATATAAATCCGAACACCCAGTTTAAATGGTTTTATTTTAATAAAAGTTGGTGAATGTATTTATCTTACTGTAAATAACAAGTGAAAAAATTTTCAACCTTATCAGTTGGACATTCCGGTTTTTATACTGCTTTTTTTTAATTCACTAACGCTCTAAGAATGAATATTTCAGCCGCAGTAGAGAATCAACGTTGGCGGATTTTGGTTCTTGACATCCTTTACGATCGGTTACGATGCCCAGAGTACGGAGACCTGTACGATTTCGTCAACTTAGTGAGTTTGATAGGGGCAATATAGTGGGACTTCGGGAAGCTGGACTTTCTTTTCGGGCAATTGCAGTTAGAGTGCAAAGAAGTGTAGACACTGTGGTTAGATGTTGTCAGGCATGGCTTCGAGAAGGCCGTACGCAAAGAGCAAGGGGCACTGGACGCCGCCGTAGAACAACAGACCGTGAAGATCGCCGCCTAAGATTATTGGCCTTAAGGGACCGTTTCTCCACTACCAGGTCCATTGCAAATGAATGGTTTGCAGAAAACGGAAGACCTATTGGCATGCGAAGTGTTTACCGACGAATGAGAAGTTTTGGCTTGTTTTCATACCGGCCACACTGGGTCCTCCCTTTAACTCGAGAACACCGACGTAATCGCCTTGAGTGGTGCAGACAACGGTCACTCTGGGATCAGGAATGGAACAGTATTGTCTTTAGTGACGAGTTTCGATTTTGTTTAGGCATGCACGATGGTCGTGCCAGGGTTAAAAGGCGACGTGGTGAAATGAGGAATCCACAGTTTTTTGTTGAAAGACATGTTCATCACACTGTTGGAGTTATGGTTTGGGGTGCTATAGCTTATGGTTCCAGGTCACCTTTAATCTTCATCAGAGGTAACATGAACGCGCAGCGTTATATCCACGAAGTTCTAGAACCCCATCTTTTACCCTATCTTGACACCCTGGCAGATCCAACTTTCCAACAAGATAATGCCCGACCACATGTTGCAAGAGTCACAATAGACTTCTTTCAACATACTGATGTCACATTGTTACCATGGCCACCAAGATCTCCCGACTTATCCCCAATTGAGCACGTGTGGGATATGATGGGTAGGAGATTGCTCAATTTGCAACGTCCTCCTCAGACTCTAGAAGCACTTCGAGAGGAGTTGGTGGTTGCCTGGAATGAGATACCACAGGAGGACATTGACCACCTGATCAGAAGCATGCCTAGGCGCGTTGGAGAATGCGTAGCAAATCAGGGTGCATCCACATATTATTAAAGGTCAAAGGGCTTTGAAGCAGTGCAATCATTTTGAAATTTTTATCATTTACTTTTTATGCTTCATTAAGTACTTATACAAAATTTTATTAAAATAAAACCATTTAAACTGGGTGTTCGGATTTATATGTCACTTAGTATATCTTCAGAGCAAAAATCACAAACATTTCTGTTGTCTCTTAAATGTTTTGTACTCACCTTTTTTTGTACTCCTATAAACGTTAGAATTTCTTCACTCTACACGTGTGCATTGAGTTTGTTGGTTAGTTTGTGGTAATGGTTCATTGGTTTGTGAATTAAATGCTTTGTCAAAGTTTATCTATGTATTATAATCCTTGTGATACTATGATCTACATTTTTGATATTGTACAAGGATTCAATGACCCACTGTTAAATGGTCAATGAAGAAAAATATGTCATAAATAGGGCAACACTTGGACTCCTTCAGAACTAGATCATTTTGTGTATTTTCTTTTTTTTATGTTGTCGCAGGCACGAAGAATATGCATAAAAAAATTAAATTCTGATACTTTTGCGTCCAAACTTTGAAGCAACGTGGGATATATACGTAAGCGAATCAGTATAATCGCAAAGAGAAATTTTTGATGCATGGAGCCTACTAATATACAAACATCCTAGCAGTTTTGCTTGCAGGGTCTTCCCTATAAACCATAAATTAAAATACATAATATGTACATATGATGTACTTGAGTAAAATACCTATACTGTGAGCTTTTGGGGCTTGGAAAACATCAGTATTAACAAGTAGAGCATGTGCTTGTTTTCGTTTACTGGGTGTTGCTTAATAAGAAAGGCATATGATCTAACACCCAACTCTAGAAGTGTGTTATTGGAAGGTGGTTCACAGACACAACGTCTTACAACGTCGAATCAGAAGAGTCCTACAAAGTAGCATTGGAACGTGTAGACCAGGGCTGTCCAACATACGGCCCGCGGGCCGCATGCTTCTTTCTTGCGGCCCGCTTCACGGGTCATGTATACCATATAGTATAGTATATACCTATTAAACCTCAGTAATAATGTTGTATAGAAAGATTTTATAATGCGGCCCTCCAAACTGCATTTTTTTTTGAAGTGACCCTTGGGCCACATTAAGTTGCACAGCCCTGGTGTAGACAGAAAACGACTTGCATGTTGCTAACATTGTTTTATCCTTCGATAGGACGCATGTCAGGATCACAAAACTGCCCGCGACTCTGAAAGTGAACGTATTCTTAACTTGTCCTTCATCAAGAGTGAAATTACTATGAACTCGCATGCGAGTGGTGAACCTCGAATGATTAGAGTAACAGAATTGTTGTCACCAAATATCGATTTAAATTCATTCAATTCTAACATGTGATTTAAAAGCTAGTCACTATCAAAAGCAGACATATCGCTCAGTAAGCTCAGATTTTATACCAAAACTTTCGTAATTAGTTAATATAAAAAAAATCACACTAGGAAGTACAAAGAAGTAAAGTTATGACTTTATCATTAATTTTTGATGGTATATATTATTTTGAATGTCCCTAAATGATCATCTGCTATTAGTTGTCACGTTTTGACTGAACTATCGTGATGAATAGTTTATGGTGTCTTGACCATGTTTTGGCAACTTGTATATTTGTGAGTTTTCTGGTTTTTGTCTATCGGGCTTCGTTATTGCATATAGGATGCATCGTTGCTTCTTTTTTTTAATGCAGTATAAGAATAGCGAAAGATCAGGTGCTTTAATTTGCGAAACCTATCCGAATAAGATTTTTGCTTTTCACTTTCAGTTTTGAGGGCACTCCAGCTATTTCTATTAATAATCATGGAAACATGAGTTTCGTTAGGTATAGAAATATCTTAATTAGGCGTTTATTAAACGGTATCTTGTCGGATTGTTACTTGTTCCTTGCTGAAAAATTAGGTTTAACTTAGGACTAGCATTAGAATTATGTATATCGTACAAAGGTCCAAATAAATAGTTTTAAGTTAATTGCGTTTGAAATACTTTTCGTGTATTGTATTGTATGGGAATTAACATGACTTATAAAGTCGAAACTTACTTCCTTATTATTATAGTTAGGTGGGCGATGCAAGTAGAAAATGAAAAATTCATTATCATGAACTTAACATTTTATGCAAAAATGGACTTAATCTGAGTTACAGATATAGATTTTATACAATTTTAGTTCGTAAGTTAATTTTGTATGTTATTACGTTTGTATACTACTGACACACGTTAGATAACAATCATCTATGAAACTCTCCTGTCACTGTCAAAAACGACCGCCATTTGGGCGGAGAAAGTCGAATGCAAATTCCCCCAGTACAATGATGAAAGAGGTTGTGTGAGTTAGTGCTCAGCAGCAGCCGGTGATGCCACGTACCCTGGCAGCGGTTGCAGTTTAAAAAATTATGCTATTTCGGTATGGTCTAGTGTAGTTTGTCTGAACCAATGCAATGTTATTCCAAAAAGAAGCGACGAAGTATTGATGACTATTTATTTATGAAAAAGTTTCAAAATAAATTCGTATTGGTGAAAGTATTTCCAGTAAACAGAAAAATATTTACTTTCGCCACGCATTCTTTACTGATGTGATATGCTCGAACCATTCCATTTTCAATGCAAACACTGTTAAAACACCGCAAACATGGCACTTCTGACGACTCCTCAGCTAGGATGCTTCTACATACACGGTGAGTCTTTAATGTCTAAGCGGTCGGTAGTTCGTATATTTAAATACCTAGAAAAGTTAGTTATCAAAATTGTTGGCAACTATACTCTCCTTACTTGGAAGATATGCCGCGCTCCACAAGGTAATTCATAACTACATGACATCACATACATTTTTTAAATGAATTTGTTTAGTATTAGCGAAGAATAAAAATATATTCATGCAAAATGGTTTAGTTTTACTGATGAACAATGTTTCTTGAATCTCACATTTAAATGTTCATATGCTCTCGGTTTTTACGCGACAAGGACACCGAAATTCTTCTGATTGAGTGAAGTTTGTATGTGTCTGGTGATTTTAGTACTGCTTACATTGAAAATGCAATGGATTGATAATATCGCAGCAGCGTATAAAACATAGCAAACGTAAATATTTTATTATAAATACATCCACCAATAAAAATTTATTTTAAAACTGTTTCATGATTAGTCATCGGTCGCTTCTTTTTGGACAAGCATACTCGTTTTTATTATTGATTTACCCAAACTAGATCATATCGAAATATCATCATTTTATGATTGCAAACAATATCTGCGGCCGCTTTCATATGATACGTGGCAACACCGGCTGCTGCTGAAAACTAAAACTTTTTTCATAGTTGTACTAGGGGAATTCACATGCGATTTTCTCCACCGAAATAGCGACCGTTTTTGACACTGACAGGAGGCTGTCTTAGCTGATTGTTATCTAAGCTGTGCTACTGACTTTATATTTTATACCTAAGTTTTATACCAAATAAAGATTGAATTTGCATATCTAATTTAACTGTATTATTACAAACCCTCTCTTATTGTTGGTTGTTATGGTGATTCAAGAATATTGATAAATCAAAGCGCTTTGCGTCAGCGACAGAAAATTTTTGGATGAAGTCACACTGGTCACACTTTTCTGGGTATAATGGAAGAAGAGGAAGAAACCATAGGTAAATACTTGCTTTTGTTCGCTTCGAACTTTGTGTAGTAATATTTTTAGACAGGTACTAGTTTTATTCAGTCTGTAGCGACGATGTTTCATGTTACGCCTTTGCTTTTCCGGGGATAAAACACCACATTCTCCACTCAAAACATGCAGTCAAATATTTCAGATGACTTTTCATCAAATTTCCTTAAACTTACCAAGTGTTTAAAAAACAATGGCAATATTTCTAGAACAGAAATACTCCAAATAAAACAAAACTGAAAATCTAGGAAAACCCAGCACCCTGACTGAAAATAAGGAAGCAACAAGGTATAAACAAAAAGCGCTAAACCTAAGAAAATCTGTCGAGGACTCCCACAGCCGTGTCTGAAAAAAATATGCCCTACTTCAGGGCTCTACAAACACAAAACGTAAAACACTAACTTTACATATACATTAATTTAGAGACGAGGGGGGACAGGGGGGCATGTGACCCGCCTTAAGTTCAAGTTTGAACTGGCTCGTTTTGGTGAAACAGCTTTTTCTATTGTGTTCTAGAAATGAGTGACATCAATTTCCAGCGACAGTGTGCTATCAGGTTTTGCGTAAGACTTAAGACACCGTGTACAACGGAAACTCTTGCCAAACAGGCCTATGGAGAAGTGTTTTGACAAGAGCTCAGGTTTTTCGGTGGTAAAGTCACTGTCAAAAGGGAGAGAGCCGATTGAAGATTAACCACGAAGCGGAAGGCCTTTATCTCCAAGAACCGATGAAAATATCGACAGAATCCGGGATCTTGAGCGTTCAGATCGTCGGTTGACAGTCAGAATGATCGGGGAAGAGTTTGACTCACACCACCGTTAATCAGATAAAAAACAATTGGGTGTTCTTGTCACACAGCAATGTCAATAAACGATTTTTTGGCCAGTAAAACATTCCTGTGGCTATTCGGCAGAGTTTCAACACTCGAAAACATCGGAGTTCCAGCACTGATACGAGGAGTGGAAGAACCGTCTCCAGCGATGTGTGGATTACGAAGTTATTTTGACGGTGACACTATAAAATTGGAATTATATTTGAAAAACAAAATTAAATAAAATCAGTCTCATCACTTAATTTACAGACCTCGTACTTCCGAACCGTTGTGGTCAAAAAATAATCCAACGTTATGCACATCTTCGATATCATTTAGACTGCAACTGATAAATATAACACACAAAAGACTATTACGAGGCCGAACACAGAAAGAACTTTTGAATCGTTTTTTGAATATCTATCGAATCAGTTTATATTTGTTTTATTTCCATTTTCTGTGTGTATATGTTGTGGCATGCTGTAAATGTAATGCGGGGATGAGTTTACATAGCTCATTTTATATAATGTTTCAACCAAAATAATTTACTTCGATTTCAATATATAAATTGTTAATTAATGTATGTGAAGTTGATGTTTTGATTTTTTTGTAGAGCCTTGAAGACGAATAAATTTTTCCGAAACGTCGGGAGCTTTATAACAGGAAACTGTATTTCTTTAGAACTTTAGATCCTAAATCCAATTAATTATAAAAACTGTATCATATGAAAAGGATCATTAGAAGAATAATTTTCTATACTAAAAAATACTTTTGCACTATTTTGTTACCAAAAAAAAACCGTAGTTCCGATAAACAACGACTTGGAACGGAAAATAGCCGAAGCATTTGAGGTATTCGACCACGCTGGGAACAAGAGGATAGATGTTCGTGAGGTCGCTACAATCATCAGAGGTCTAGGATGTTGTCCTACTGAAGCTGAAGTGCAGGAAGTCATTGTCAAGATCGAAGATCATCAAACGCCTGGGAGCGTACATCTGTTGCAATTTCTCCCTTACGTATCTCAGTTTATAACTGAGCATAAGTAAGTATGCCAAAATTACAATTTTTGAAAGTAAGAAAATCAAAAAACTAACAGAAGGCAGGCGTGGTTCTATCACCTTTCGAGAAACAGTATTATGTAACGTTTGATGGATAAAACAGTTGCACCTAAGGCCATTCTTTTAAATAGCAGGAGTGCGAGCGTCTTGCCGTCGTTCGTCGACCTTATCTCTAAAAAGGCAGTAGATTTTGTGATGAAATAATTGTTGATACGAAAAATCTAGGAAAATATTCTTTTGTCGGAAACGAATTCATTCGCACACTTAGATTAACATGAAAAGCAGCCAGAAAGAGTATGTTACTCATTACAATGAACCGATAACGATGTTACTAACCTAAATATTGACTTGGCAGTGCTGACGACGCTGAATGAAATCAGCCAAATGATGGATTTCCAGCGTGTATTTTTTAGAAATGTTCCTAATTAACTTAACACTATAATTTTGTATATACAAATAATAGATAGCTATATTCATACCTTTTGAAATTATCCAAAAGTCACTTCTATAGGCGTTGCATATATGCAAGCAACTCGACTAAACTTTTATTTGCAATTGTTTACACATTGTATATATATATATATATATATATATATATGAAGACGTATATAATTACGATTGTATACGCGTATACAATGATCTATCTTATATTTTACAAGATGCGCTCTCCACCATCTTGCACCTATGTGGAGCATGGCCAATATAGTCGACTTATACTTGGCTCCTGATCTGTTACCACGATAACTACTGTGCGTATGATTAAAGCTTTTTATCAGCAATGGAATGACAACAAAATGACTCAGCTACGAGGGATGTCTTTTAAGTTTTGCATATAGAAACATAGTAGGCCGCGCGGATCGAAAGTCAGTACTGAATCTTAACCTCACTCTTTAGTAAACTTAAATTCAGAGTTTCACAATACGTGCAGTGTTCTCACTACAGTGAATTTTTAAGTGTCACCAAGTCATTAGAAAAATGGAACTCAACCGAGAACATTTTCGCGCCATAATTTATTACAACATTCACAGACAATTATCGCAACAAGAATGCCTTGCTGAGTTACTGTCTGTTTTCGGCAACGAAGCGCCACATCAGTTGACAAATTCCCGTTGGTATGGAGAATTCAAACGTGGACGCGTGAGTCTTAGCGACGATCCCTGGGTGTGTGCACCAAAAACGGCAGTCACCCAGGAAAACGTCGATGCTGTGCGCAAACTCATCATTGAAGATAGACATGTGACATATCGCGAGATTGAGGCGTCCTTGAAGATCTCAAAGACCTCAATTCAAAAAAATTTACATGAAGAATTAGGAGTTAGAAAATTAGTTTCTCGTTGGATACCCCACCTGTTGACTGAAGAGCAGAAAGCAGCCAGGGTTAATTGGTGTAAAAAAACGCTTGACCGTTTCAATTCCGGAAACTCAAAAAATGTGTACAGCATTGTTAGTGGTGATGAATCGTGGATTTACTGTTATGAACCAGAAAATATACGACAGTCGGTTGTTTGGGTGTTCCAAGGTGAAGAAAAGCCAACAAAAGTCATCCGTTCTCGGAGTGTTTCGAAAAAGATGGTCGCGACATTTGTGTCCAAAGCGGGTCATATTGCAAAAACTCCTCTTAATGAGCAAAGAACTGTTACTGCGGATTGGTATACCACCATTTGTTTGCCAAAAGTCATCACCGAGCTTCGAAAAATCAACCCCGAAAGAAGAATCATCCTCCACCAAGACAATGCAAGCTCGCACACAGCCCAAAAAACAAGGCAGTATTTAACGGAAGAAAACGTGGAATTATTGGACCATCCTCGGTATAGTCCCGATCTAAGTCCTAACGATTTCTTTACTTTCCCGAAAATTAAAAACTGACTGCGTGGTCACAGGTTCCAGTCACCAGAAGAAGCAGTTGACGCATTCAAAAATGCCGTTTTGGATCTGCCAGCAAGCGAGTGGAATAAGTGCTTCGACAATTGGTTCGAGCGCATGCAGATGTGTATTAATCTTCGTAGAGAATACTTCGAAAAACAATAAAGTCATTTAAAACTACCTACCGTGTTGTTTTATTTCCATATGCAAAACTTAAAAGACATCCCTCGTACTCCGCGTCAACACAAAAATGACTCGATTTCCGCTTCTATTCACATGTCGCTGCCTGCTCAGGCATTCATGACCCGCTGGTCAATAGGAGCAGGCGAATTTGAACGTTGCGCGTCAGCTTTTGTTTTGACGAGGTATAAATGACATTTGAATACATTATATCACAGGTATCTATTTATTCTTTAGATCGGGTGGTACTCAAACCACATGTAAGTATACCTGTGGCCTTTCACAATTTTGTATTTGTATAGATACGAACCTGCGACTCCTGAACAGTTGCTAGAAGCATTTCAAGTGCTTGATTCTGAAGGTCATGGCTATTTGACCAAAGAGCACATTTCCACATTGATGACACAGGATGGGGAGCCTTTTACTCAAGACGAACTCGACGAAATGCTCGAGATTGCAGTTGACCCCCATACTCAAACTATTCCTTATGAATACTACATTAATCAGCTCATGGTAAGCCGGCCTATTATACATAATACTTGTATATAAACTCGTACAATATCCAAGGAGCATGGTAAAAGTAAAACAGTAGGAGCTTGGGATGTTTCCCCGGCTACTCAGTGGTGACCTTGGATTTGATCTTGAACATTACCTTGAAGGTCAATTTTGACCTTGAATGTCCCTGGTCAAGGTTATATCCAAAAGTAAAACTTTGCGGCCCACCCATTTCCGAGATCAAAAGTATCATGAAAAACGTGCGAACCTTGGTTGAACCACCAAGGTCACGGTAAAGGTCAGTTTCAAGATCACCAGGGAAAAGTCTAAGGCCCGTATCGTCAGTCGTCCCTACAATTGTAGGGCGCGTTTATGGCCTCCTTGATTGTCATACTCGTTTCTCTCCTTCAAAAA